GTATCAGAGGGAGAGGTTTCCATCCAGAGGTAATAAAAGAAAAGATTGAGAAATCTAAATGCAAAAGGACTTTAAAATTTTTGGCATGACAAACGCCACCCACAAAGTCAAATGACAACTGACGGGACATATTTGCAACATATACCACAGACCCGGGGCCAACATTCCTAATACGTGAAGGACTCGGCAAAATGAAGTACAGAACACCAAAAACTTGGTAGAAAAGATCGGGAAAACGATTTGAACAGACAGTTCTTAAATGTGGCTCTGTGTTTGTGTGTGTGTGTGTGTACATGTGAACATGCTACTCAGACAAGTTTTTAAAACGTTCAAATTTATACAAACATAAAACAATGCTGAGATAGCACTTCTCACTATCAGGAAGGCGAAAATTTCTAAATATGACAGCATCTCTTATTCTCTGTGGTGAAGCAGCTGCTTCATGCATTGCTGGTAGGAATGCAAGTTGGTGTAACCACTTGGAGGGAATTTGGGCAACACTTGTACTTACCTTAGACCTGGCAGGCCCTCTTGTAGGAACCTCCGCTGAAGGCACACCGCAACAATGACATGCATGCACGTGTGGGTGAGTGTGCCTGCATGTCCTGAGGTCTCAGGTCCTTGAAGTGATGGCACCCCAGTAGTCATGAGCACATCTGGCGCTCAAATCATGGTTTTTAAACACCAAACTCCCAGGGGCAGGTGTGTGCCACAGCAGGTTAAGCTGCCAGTGGGTGGCCCACAATCCGATGTGGGAGTGCCTGGGTTCAAGTCTTGCCGCCTTTTCCAGTCCAGCTTCCTGCTGGCACACCAGGCAGGCAGACGATGATGAGAGGTTCCTGCCACCCACCTGGGAGAGCCAAAAGGAGTTCCAGGCTCCTGGCTTCAGCCTGGCCCAGCCTGACTGTTGCAGGCATCTGGGGGTGAACCAGCAGAGGGAAGGTAGTCTCAGTCTCTCTCTCTCTCTCTCTCTCTCTCTCTCTCTCTCTCTCTCTGTGTCTCTTCCTCTCTTTCTGTCACTTAGCCTTTCAAATAATAAAAACAGACACATACACACCTTACTCCAATAAAAGGACAAGCATTCCTTAGAGAAGTGGTTGATTTCGGGGCTTTGACATGGAAAGTATAAGCTCATCCTGGAAAATTTTATGGCACCAGAAAGTCAAGAAGGGCTCAAAAAAGTACGAGTACTCTGTTGCTGTTGTTTTGAAATTTTTATTATTGGAATGGCAGAGAGACAGACAGCCCTGCAACAGCCAGGGCTGGGCCAGGCCAAAGAGAAGTTGGGAGCCTGGAACTCAGTCCCTGTCTTCCATGTGAGTGTCAGGGACTCATGTCTCCCAGGATGTGGTTCGTTGGAAGTGGAGTCGGAACTCAAACCCAGACACTCTGACGTGGGATGTGGGCATCCCAAGCAGCGTCTTTAACTGCTACACCAAACGCCCATCCCACCATGAGAGCCACCCTGAAGCAGCACCTGCTGACCAAAATGGAAATGCTTTAGCCAGTGAAGTAAATAAAGCTAGTGCTGGGGTTTCACTTGTCCTCCCTTACAGTTAAATAGCCATGAATCCACACTGGACAAGATCATTTATGCACATGAGAGACAGGGTGACAGCTGTTCCTTGCAGGAGTCCCACTAATTAAATGCAGCCAGAAGGAAGATGATAGAAAGTCGCCGCGAGGTAGTCACCCTGTAATGTTGCAGGCGAGATCCATTGGTGGATGCAGAAATTAGCAGAATGTCGAGGAGGAGCAAGGTTATTCACACCGTCTCAACAACACACATTTGAAGGCTTGAGCTGGCGCCGGGAAGCTGCTTCCAGGATGCCTCATTCCCAGGGCCGGGAGGCGCCGGGTGCTCCTGACAAGGAAGTTGCCTCCTCCAGGCCGCCTGATGTTAGAGGAGCGAGCGAACAGAGAGGAAGCCCTGTGCCTTCCGTGACCTGGGCTCTGAAATCACACCTGCCATTTTTGCCGCCTGTGTGCCAGCTGGAAAAGGTGCCTCTAGCCTGTAGCCCAGGAATTCCTTTTCCTCCCAGAGGTGCCCCTTCTCCTTTCGTTGTGTGTTCCCAGTGCTCTCAACCTGGGCTCCTTGTGGTGACTTGCTCCAGGGCTGGTCCAGGGCGGGACCACTGTGACTGGAAGAGCAGCAGAGACGGGTGTGGTGTCTCACTCCCCCTCCTGCCCCACTGGAGCCCCTCCTCAGCCCAGCCTTCCTTTACCCTCCCCCTGCTTGCCGTGACCATCATCCAGAAGCCATCTGTGAACCATTAGCCTCTCAAATGGCAAGGACCGTATTGTGTTACAGCTGTGTTCCGCGTCTGGGTTCACATCTGTGCATATTGACATTCATATCTGGATCCCCAGGGCATAGCACGGGGCCAGCAGGGTCCCTAATGGGGAGAGGAATTACCATTTGAGTGTCAGTGCATCTGAGGCCCTCCCGATGTAGCTGCCTAGGCCTTGGTCTTTCCCAAACAGGAAAGTCACGGGTGAGCTGGTCTCCTTCCGCCTGCTTTCTGTGTCCACACGCAGAGCCCTGGAAGACCCCTCAGAGGTTGATAAGGCGGAGAGGGCTCTGTAAGGTGTCCGTGCGACAGGCTCCATGAGGGCTAGGCACGGAAAGGAGAGGAGGTAAACATTCCTGGGCAGACACTTGGAAGTCTCCCTGCTGCCCGTGCTGGCTGGAGATGGCCCTGGGGACCCCTTTCCGGGCACACCTCTTCCTGTTGCAGCCTTCTTCGTGGCCCCTTTGCCACCTTCTCATTTTAGACCATAAATCCTGCTCTGTGGCCCGCAGTTAATGTCAACCCCACCTTCACACGTCCTTGGGCCTGGGAGTTGGGTTCTGCCTCACTCTTCCCGCCCCTGCAGCCAGGGCGTAGATCTGTCCACTCCTGGACCTGCCTGGCCCCTCAGCCCCAGGGGAGCTGGGCACAGGACACCTTGATATAAGACATTAAAGGGATGCTTGTTAAAGACGCCAAGGAGAGCCGGCGCCGTGGCTCAATAGGCTAATCCTCCACCTTGCGGCGCCGGCACACCGGGTTCTAGTCCCGGTTGGGGCGCCGGATTCTGTCCCGGTTGCCCCTCTTCCAGGCCAGCTCTCTGCTATGGCCAGGGAGTGCAGTGGAGGATGGCCCAGGTGCTTGGGCCCTGCACCCCATGGGAGACCAGGAAAAGCACCTGGCTCCTGGCTCCTGCCAGGATCAGCGCGGTGCGCCGGCTGCAGCGGCGGCCATTGGAGGGTGAACCAACGGCAAAAGGAAGACCTTTCTCTCTCTGTCTCTCTCTCTCACTGTCCACTCTGCCTGTCAAAAAAAAAAAAAAAAGACGCCAAGGAAGACTGTATCCAGGACCACTGTGGCAGGTACAGGGACCCCTGCAGTGGGGAGAGATTGAGCCAGCTCTGAGTACAGCATGGGCAAGTGGGCACTGGCAGCCAGGGTGAAGGCTGGGGGTCAGGGAATGGAGAATGACCAACGGAAGTGTCAGGATGAGGAGGGTCCTGGCTAGCCTGACCTAACTGGATTCTTCCTGAAGACAGGCCAGGGTCTGTCGGGTGTCAGACATCACCTGCAGGATGGGATGGTGGGGGACGAGCAGCCTGATTGGGTGTCAGATGTGATCAGAAACTGAGGGCGGGCTGGCGCCATGGCTCACTAGGCTAACCCTCCGCCTGCAGCGCCAGCACCCCAGGTTCTAGTCCCGGTCGGGGTGCCGGATTCTGTCCCGGTTGCCCCTCTTCCAGGCCAGCTCTCTGCTGTGGCCCAGGAGTGCAGTGGAGGATGGCCCAAGTGCTTAGGCCCTGCACCCGCATGGGAGACCAGGAGAAGCACCTGGCTCCTGCCAGATCAGCATGGTGCACTGGCCATTAGAGGGTGAACCAACAGCAAAAGGAAGACCTTTCTCCCTGTCTCTCTCTCTCACTGTCCACTCTGCCTGTCAAAAAAAGAAAAGAAAAGAAAAGAAACTGAGGGTGGCCGGTCCTCGCTGACACTGAATTTTACAGGGGGTGCACAGATGGGCCGAGGGGAGGTTGAGGAGCTGGAATAGAGAGAGGCCAAGCAGTCTTTGTCAAGGGCAGAGCTAAGCTCGTCGCGGCGTTGTATAACATTTCCCATGGAAAAAAATGAAAGTAAATGGCCAACAGCAAACTGTACACTGAAATTGAAGTCTATAAAATGTCATTGGTTTATGCAGAAAGAAAGTGTAATAACGTCCTAGTCCCAGTTATCCATGGAAGTAAACAGACTATGTGGAGGGTAATATTAGGTTTATTCGGGGCAGAATTTGAATGGCCCAGGCCCAGGAGACTCAAGCCCAGCAATTTGGAATGAGTCTTGAGAAATGTTCCCAGGTGGTCCCATTCTAGTCAGGACGTATGTGTCCATGACAGCAGATTCCCATTTATCCTTATACAGTGAGCGGGTCGTCATTGGCTTAGCCCCAAAGGCAGGCATTAGGTAAATGGAGGTAGATTTCTCATAAGTTGGAGAGGACTGCGTTTAGAGCATGACTGGTTACAACCATCTTCAGAGACAAGGTATGCTGGAGAGGAGGCCACATCTCTGGGACTAGGTAAGGAATATTTGGATAAAGAACGAAGGGTCAGGCAGGGCTGCTCCAGATGGCTCAGGTGAAGCAGACGCGACGTGCACAGCCCCGGAGAAGCGCTCTGCCCAGCCCCCTCAGATGGTTCTCAGCGGGTGTTTTTCTTGCACGCTTTGCAGGCTTTTGATAGAGACAGTTTGTTCTCACACTTATCTTATAGTTTAGAAGATCAAAGTTGGTTAAGTAATTTTTCTGCAATCATGTTTTCTGAAACAGGACTTAATAGTGCAGCTGACATAATTTCACACTGGGAATTGAATCCACATTTTTTTTCTTCCAGAATATAAAATTTGGAATGTGTGTAATCTTCTGTGTTCACCTTTATTTTTCACATTGTAATTGTGCCTCTTCGTAGAATTACAGCGCTTTCCTTTCTGGTCCAGATTTAGGTCGTTCCCGAGAACTCCAGTACGTGTACGTGGATAACAACGTTCACCTGAAAGGCTTGCCGTCCTATCTGTACAATAAAGTCATCGGGTGCAGTGGGTAAGGCTGCTCTCACATTGTGGACTCAAAAATAGACGAGTCGCTTTCAATCACTCTGTTCTGTCTTTGACCTTAATATGCTAAGCCAAATATGCATGGAAACTCAGAATATTAGGCAAGTGATTTAGAGTATTGTATGTTGGATTCAGTTAGTAAGCAGTGGGTTCAGTCTATCAGTTGACTTTTATTTGCTAGTCAAAAGAAAAATGAGTCCGTGTTGTTTTTACTATGGAAATAAAGATTTTTTCCAGCTTTTTTGAATTATGCTTGACAAAATTATGCACATTTTAAGTGTATGATGTGATGACATATGTAATATATAATATATATGTTTTAGATGTATATGTATAATATATATGTCCAAAACATATTTATATATATATAAATATATCCTGCCAGACATACCATTATAAACTCAGTAGTGTCCGTCACAGAAGGAAGAAGTAACGTTAACTTAAAGATTTTGTTTCTCTGAACTCCATTGAATGGCAGTTTTGCTGCAGTAACAACCCCAGTATCCAGGATTTTACCAATTGGAAGTGTTAAGCACGCAACACTCGAGATCGTCTTTAGATATAAGTTGTGACCTTAGCGACCAAAAGATATGTTTTAATGCATGAGAAATGAGCGTCTTCTAAACTCCGAACTGGGGCAGTAGTCTTTCCTTCTTAGTGGACTTCCAGAAAGATAGGGTCAGCTTCTCCCTGCACAGCAGTGGGACCGACCACCTCAGAGTACTTCCCAGAGTGGGCAGAGAGCAAGACAGCACCACTGGGCCGTGAGATCCATTGCTGACCGCAGCCAGGGGAGCACCAGAGGCGACGTAACTGGACTGACTCTCCCTTTCTGATCCCAAGCATCCTGCACAGCCTGGCTCATGCTGTGTGATGTGGCAAGGGGTTTGTACGAGGAAAACAGCTGTTCCCCAGCCGCCTGGCTCCAGGAGGCAGGCAGTGAGCTGGAACTGCTCCAGAGAGCACAGTCCTGGGAGCAGGACTCCCCACAGGGAACATTATACAGTCAGCATCTTGGGAAAGCCTGAGGTGAGTTCAGTGCCTGTCTGGGCTGATGAAATCCGAGCTGAGTGATTTACTCCAGAACCCTCTGTGAGGGAGAGGTGGCAGAACGTGCGGCGTTTTAGCCTAGTGATTTGTCCATAGCTGTGCCACCAGTCAGTCGTCATCCCAGTGAGCTTCTAAAGGAGTGGTACCTGATTTCTTGCAAGTGGCGACTAAAATGCCCTCGGTCACCAAGCTGCACGGCATGATGCAACCATCCCCAAAGCGGAAGGCGCTTTTCCCACACCAGAGCCTCCAGGGGCGGCCTGAGATGTGCGCTAAGTCTCTGCTGCGCTCCAGGGCAGCTTCTGTTGAAGATGAAGCACTCGTACTTGAATGTTCAGATGTGCACGTCACTGACTGCCAGGAGGGTCTGTCTGCTGAGTAGGGAGAGAGGGTCTAAGCTGTGCCTTGGTGTCCAGTGGTGCCAGTGAATTTTATGGGCACTCCAGATCTTTGAGACAATAAATCGTGGGGGAAAACAAAGTATTAGCTAGTCGTTTACGTTTGTCACTGCTGTCTTTTGATAGTACTAAAAAATAAATAAAGTTGTTACTAACAGGATAGTATCAAACAACCAGTATTCTAGTATTAGTAGCAGTGAGGGCATAAACAGTGATCCCCAGTGACCTGTGATCCCAGAGGCATGGTTTTTGGTTTTTGGTTTTTGGCTTCTGGGGGGGGTTTGTTTTGTGTTGTTTTTTCAGTATTTAGGGGTTTTTTTAGTCTGTTGGTTTAACTCAGAACTCAGAAGGCACTTTGGTCATTACATTCCTAGGCCCACTAAAGCTCACTAAAAGCTTAGCCAGCCTATTTTGCACCAAAAAAAAAAAAAAAAATACTTATTTATGTAGAATTTCTGTGACAATATTTATTCAGATTCTTAGGACATAGTGACTGCTCACGTCTTGGCAACAGAATTACGAGTGCCCTGTTTTCTGTCCCTCATCTGTTGCAATGTGAAAGGGACTCTCTGCACCAAGTCAGAGTGGTGGTGCTTACTGCTTACCCGCAGCTTGAAGCCTAGAGAGTGTGCTCCAGGATTCTGCACGGACTTCTGGCTCAGTTCCATGAGTGAGCATGCCCTGAGCGTTGAGCAACTGCTCTGCTCTCCGTGCTGGACCCTGGGCCTACACTGATGGGCAAACAATGGAGCGCCTGCCCTGTGGACCTGCTACACTAGCCAGGGAGTTGGTGAACAGTAAGTGACTCTTACTCGGTGCTGGTTCTCTCTAAGGAGATACTTAACCGAGAGCTGAGGGGTCAGCTCGCCTGGTCCTCCACTGCTCTGACACGCTGCTTTAGCCCGGCGCAGGCACACACACAAGGACACGCAGCCTCTGCTGCTGCCGCGCTGTCACTGACAGCTGCGATACCTTTTAGGTTAAGGATCTTAGGAGAATTAGAGCAACGGCAGAGGAAAATGGATACAGGCTTTAGGGCCGTGGATAGTATCTAAAAGATATATATTCAGTTTTGCATCCCAGAGGGGGAAATAGAGAATGGCGCATAAAATATATTAAAATTGCATAATAAATGATGCATAATTTCAACAACTCTCAGAAGTCTCACGGAATTATCTTGGGTATTCCATATAAATGCGAACAAAGTTAGCTCATCCCCCTTAAATGTTGATGCATTTGTCAAGAGTTATTGAATGTTAACTAGCAAGTCAGAGCTGTGCTAGAAATTGAGAAAGATGAAGATAATTTAGCTGCTTATCCTGATAGGCAAAAATTACTGTAATCCAAGCAATGAATACCATAAGAAAGGTAGAGCAGTGAAAATTTAGAACGTGGAACCGGCTTCCATGACCTAGCTCAAAGCCACACACCACCATTTCTGTTACACCCTATTGGACACACAGGTCAGTCCTCTTCATGGTGGGGGTAGGGGTCCTCCTTCCTGGGAGGGAGGACCACTGGAGCGGACCCGGACTCTGGCTGACACAGTGCATTGTGTCCATGCCCCTCTCCAGCTTCAATGCCAAGTATGATTCTTAGGTTTCCTGAGTGGTGGTGGTGTTGTTATTACAGGAGTGAATGTCTGGTTCCTCTCAATCACACCTAAAAAGCCCATCATCCCATGTTAGAGCTTTAGAAAGTGGCAATGGGCACATTTACATACTTAGGAGAACTGCATGGTAAAAGTGATCCCATCTGAGTTTATTTTTCCGGTTATCTGATCATATGAGAAAAAGAAAACCAAAGCTTTGCTTTCCCTTTGTGTGTGTGTGTGTGTGTGTGTGAGAGAGAGAGAGAGAGAGAGAGAGAGAGAGAGAGAATGAGCAGTTGTAACTGGATTTAGGAACAGTTTGATTTAATAACCCACTCATGGTTTGTTGATGTAACCACTGAAGGTAATAGAATTGTTTGCAGGAACAATGCATCCTGCATTCCAAGTTACACTATTCCACTAAAAACGCCCTTTACATCACTGTTCATGTTTATGTGGGGGCTGCCGGCACACCCAGATCCCACTAATATTGTATGTATGCACCACAACCCCGTGGACAGGTCCAAAGCAGCCACATACAAAGGAGCTGAAGTGTGATTTAAGCTGTCACTCAAGAAAGAGTTTGCAGTTTGATTCCAGAAAAATTAATTACTTGTGAAAAAAATATTAACACTCCAGAGCATCAGTGTAATTCTCACAATGTCCAGGATACAGCTGAGAATTATATGGTGTGTGTGTACAGTACCAGGAACTGTGATCCGTCCCCAAGAGAAAAGATCGGCAGAAACCAACCTGAAACGACCCAAAGTGTTGGAACTGGCAAAGATTTTAAGACAACTCTTATAACTGTTCTCAGTGATGTAAAGAAAAATAGATTTGCAAGGAATGAGAAGACCAGAAAAATAGAAACTTTTAAGAAAGAAACCTGGGGGCTGGCATTGTGGTGCAGCAGGTTAAGCACCCGTTCAAGTCCCTGCTGCTCAGCTTTTGATCCAGCTCCCTGCTCTTGTGCCTGGGAAGACAGCCAAGATGGCCCTGGCACTTGGGCCCCTGCTACACACATGGGAGACCTGGACGAAGTTCTAGCCTCCTGGCTTCGGCTTGGGCAGCCCTGGCCATTGCGGCCATTTGGGGAGTGAACCAGTGAATGGACGATTTCTCTGTTTCTCCCCCTTCTCTGTAATTCTGCCTTTCAAAAAATAGTGAAATAAGTCTTATAAACACAATGAAGCCACCTTGTAGCATAGCAGGTTAAGCCACTGCCTGCTGTGTCAGCATCCCATGAGCACCAGCTTGTGTCCTGCTGCTCCACTTCGGATCCAGCTCCCGGCTAATGTGCCTGGGAAAGCAGTGGAAGAAGACCCAAGTGCGTGAGCACCTGTACCCACGTGGGATCCCCAGATAGAGCTCCAGGCTCCTGGCTTTGGCCTGACCCAGCCCTGACTGTTACAGCATTTTGGGGAGTGAACCAGCAGATGGAAGATCTCTCTCTCTCCCTCTCTCTGTAACTCTGCCTTTCAGATAAAAAAATTTTTTTATTAAAAAAAGAAATGGAAATTCTAGAATTAAAAATGCAGTATTTGAAATAAAATTTTTGCTTGATGGACATAATGGCAGAAAGGGTACAAATATGTAGAGGAAGTCAGTTGACTTGGAGGTAGATCAGTAGAAATGATCCAGTCTGAAGACACAGAGAAAAAAATGGAAAACAGAAATAACCGTAGACACAGAGAAGGACACAGAGTTTGCAGTTTGAGTCCAGCAGATACCATGAGAATCATCAAGGAGCAGCTACTGAGTGTGAGAAGGCTGGGGTTGCTGTCCCAGGAGAGGCAGAGACTTGGGCAGCAACAGCATCAAAAATGGCAGGAGCAATAACTTCTAAAAATTTCCTGAATCTGATGAAAGACATAAATTCACATTTCCAGGAAGCTCCGTGAACCCTGAGCAGGACACCGGTGAGCAGAGAAATCCTCGCCTGGGCAA